CTTTATAAATAACTCAAGGTACCATAACTAACAAGACATTAAAAATATTTGAAGTCTGAATTCTTTGCTGGACATGGTTTTTTGTTTCAATAAGGAATAACCTATCCAAAGTTTGCTCAAAGAGAGGATGAGTAAGGAGTATTATGTATGTTTGCCACCTTGAGTTATTTATAAAGTAATAATGCTGGAATAATAATGGAATGAATGAATGAATGAATGAATGAATGAATGAATGAATTAGTTCTGTTCTTATTAAAATCAGCAGGGGTGAAATTATAACTAACTCCTTTCTCAGACATCAGGAAACCAACTTTACTGTCCAAGTTACAAATTTCATGACATACTGTTTTTAGTCACACAAAAGAAATGTGTAACTTGGACAAGATTGACCAACACTGACACTATTTAGTAAAGAAAAAATACAGCTTCCACCACTTAGTTCAAACCACACAAGGTAGAAAAGGTTTTACTTATAATATAATTCCATGGATTTTCTCTGAAGCAAACTACTTATAACTGGACTCTGTGGTTACATACGAAGACTGTTAGAAATAAATTCCAGAAAGTTTCAAAGTAATTCAGAATTCAACTCTCAATAGTTTTGTATTAGAAAGCAGATAGAACGGGGGTGTCAAACTTACAGCCCGCAGGGCGGAAGCGTCATGTGTTGGTCACGCCCTCTCCCATTTAGTGACGGGGGGAAAGTCATGATATATCATGTGGCAATGTGACACCATGAGTTTGACACCCCTGAGCTAAAAGAATTAAGATTAGTTTTACTGATAAGATTCAGTACAGCTGGTTAAATGAATGGACTTATTTAATTATAGGGAGGAAAATGGTAAGTGGTAAGGACATTAAACAAAAGCTCAGGCAGTAAAGAAACACCCACAAGCCAAAGAAGGAGTTTTCCAGTTTTGATTCTATTCCTGTTAAACCAGCTCTCAGATTGAGCAGACATCATTGGGACTTGTAGGTCTGGAGCCAACCTGGGAGGAACAAACTGACCTGCAGAACTCACTAAGCTGTGCTTGTTTGTCTTAGTTGCAATTAGCACCAATAGATCTCACTGAAACGAAGGGCAGATGGATGCTGCAGCCAGAGAGAGGAAAAGCTGCAACTTTCTCTGTACTTTCACAAATTGCCCCCAAATGCAGCAACAGAAGAATTAAAAATCAAAGATCTTCGTAACTGTATCAATAAAACTAAGAATTTAAACACTTGGCATCTTATTAAATTACCAGATTCTTTTCAAATAGTGAGGTGTTCGGACCCTGAATTTGTGCTGGGCTGATTTAAGTCAAAGATGATTTCCATTCTATAATCTCCAAATGTTTTGCGTGCAAATGTTAATTGTTGGTCTCCAACAAGAGACCTTTCTGGAGACATGGATATTGGCATGAATATTATCAGTAACTTCTCAAGACTCACCAGAGGTGGGTTCCCACCAGTTCGCACCTATTCGGTAGAACCGGTTCGTCAAATCTACCGAACCGGTGAGAAGAGGTTCCACCAGTGGACCCGGAAAGCAGGCCACACCT